ACTAATGGTGTTGAAGGTAGAAGTCAAAGCAACACAACTCCCTCCTCCCCCAAGGAAAAGAAAGAAACAAGGGAAACCTCATCTAATAACTGTCATGTTGTCTTAAATTTAGAAACTGCTACTTTAATGTTTCTTAAGTTATTGCTACCGTTTAGTTGTTCTGCACAGCATTCTCCACCTAAAATGGGGTTGTGATGAAACTCTAAAGGCGACTGGGGGCCTCTGAGTGACATGTTGCTGCCTTTGAGCAGCCAGTGCCCTCTGCCGCCTGTCCTGGCTTGGGACAGGCACTGCTGTGGCTGTTTCGCCCTTGAGCGTTCGGACGGCAGATGCCCTGATGAGGGTAATCTAACTGTGGCTCTGTGGGTGGTGAAACCCTCCAGGTCCAAGATCCAGGCAGTAGCTCTCTTGGTATCAAGGACTCAGGAGGGCTGCTGAGGTCCCTGTTGTTCTCCTCATCTGTAAAATATTCTGGAGTCTAGTGAAAAAATGAATAGGAACTAGATATCAGTAGTAAAAGAATATTTTTATAAGGCTGAGCCTATCTCCCTGTGAAATGCGAGATCGTTCTAGCTCAGTTAAGCTGCTGAGTGATCTCCCAGTTTGTAATTCTGATTAACAACATATATTTTCTTACAGCTTGAATCTTTTTCAGCTAAGTATGTTTTGAATTCTAAAAATTATATAGCATTTTGAATTTTGATTTTGCTTTTCTTTTGCATAACTACTATGTTGGGAGTTTTTTGTCAGGTCAAGGATAACATGGCTCATTGCATGTTTGCATAGCAAGAAATGGATTTATAATTCCCATTAAATTTGCTATAGTTCAAAATCAACACCTTTTTAAAATGTATTCTGCAGAGATATATTTAAAATAAGGGTTTTGTGCTTGAAAGCGACCCTTGACATTGCCCTGGCCTTTATGGTTGTAATATGAAAATTATCATTGCAGAGTTCAGAGAGCCCACTTTCCTCAAGTAATTTTTCTTAAGACTCAGTGACAGCTTCTGCAACTGCTATTTTCAGGCCCCTTCGCATTTAAAAGTAATTTTACAAAGAACATGGTTGAGAGTCTTGAGTTTGTGTATGAATTTAAATGTATTTTTTGCTGCTTTAGTTAAAAAATTAGAAAGTCTGTCACAATTGAGGACTTGGGTAAGATCTTGTGAATTTTATCTCCTTCATCTGGACAGGTGTTGGCACTTAAAAAATCCCACTGTTAGTTCAAAGAACTCTGTCTAAAAAACTTACATGTTTTCTGCTTGTGCTAGCTTGAATTTGTTATTACAAATGATCACTTAGTCTTGTTCAGCTGTATTTGATCTAAAAATTGACATAACAAGTGCAGGATTTTTTGAGATTTAAAAATTCAATTGGCAATTAAACTTCAGTCTTCTTCACCTTACAAATTTAATGCCCAGCTTGCCTTTTAGTTGCTTTAGAAGTGAGGCAGGGAGACTTGGAGAACTTAGTTTGAGCATCTCCTTTGAAAATGTTGTTACAAGGTTTTTGTAGTCATACATTACCAGTAACTGTCACCTTAAACAGTAGAGAAAAAGTGAATATACTTTTGACAGTGCAAAAATTTTCTCTTTTTTTAGGTTGCAGCTTTAATTCAATCAAGCGTAGCACTTACAATTTTACGTTTACTTCGGACTCTTTTACTTTCTGTTCAAAATGAATAATCATAATTCCTCCTACATAACTGGTTTTACTTCTAGTTAAAAAGCTAGTTGTTTAAGATAATTACAAATTATAAGAAGGGGACATTTTAAATAGCTGAATTTTAAAAACTCTTCATTGTCTATGTGGGACAACATCAGCAGACATTCCAGTTATTTTTCTTGAAGCTTGGTAAACGTGCTCCTGGTAAAGTTGTTTTCCTTTTTGGAAGAGATGAATACTTAGCTGTTGGCTTCCATATCATTTATGTCATCCTACTAGCTTGTCTTTTTAATAGTTTGTTGGCAATTAGAGAGATTCAGGATTGATAGTTAAAGGTGTTTCATCATATAACTATTAATTCATTCTTAAAAATAATGAAGTCCTAGTTTTTGATCATGATTCCTGTATATGTGAAGTATAGTCTATGAAAACAGCATATGAAAAATTACGTAAATTTGCTAGTCACCATATTTTCAAAACTAGCCACTCAAAGGAAATACTATTTGTCTTGAAAAGCATCCAGTTGTTTTGTTGCCTCATTCTTTTCATGTTCATGTAAGTAAATAAGAAATTATAATAGTGGTCTCACTTTTCAAAATACTTCTGCATGAGTAATAAAGTTCAGAAAAGGGCGGATTGAATTAAAATTGTTTTGTTGATTAGATATTAAAAGTAACAACCAAAGAACACACAATAAACTATTAAAATTAACACTTCTATTATTCTTTTCAGGACTAGAGTTGTCCACAAGATCTCCCAAAGCAATAAGAAGTGATAAAGTCCTCATTTGTGATATGACAAATTATTTGCTACTTTACTTTACTTGAATACCCATCACACTAGAAGTAGGTTCTATATGTTGATGTTTATTGGCTTGAGCTTCTGTCACTTACGTCATGCAGCTCAAGTCGCTGGAGTATATTAATGTGATAGCTGGCTTAAACAGTGCTGTTGAGGCATTCAAGTACCATGGGAATGGCTTCAGTCTAAAATATGAATAGAACGGTGACAGTCTTTCAGAAAAAAAAATGATACAACTGTCAAGAAATCTGTTTTTCCCACTATTATTTATGATAAGCCAGAAGACAGTGTTACATATGGAGGTAAAATCTCCGATGCGTAGATATTGTTTGCAAATGTGATGCCAGGAGTTTAGGACTGAGATATATGGTGTGTTACTGTAAGAAAGTTTTTGGAAGAAGTGGGATGGAAAGAAGTATTTGAAGATGAGTTAAAAAGATGAATTTCTGAGAGCAGAAAGTTTCTCTCCATGTGGTGCCTGCGAGGTTTGAAGGAACTCAAAACTAAAATTCAATATTCAAAATCTCGTATTGTTATTTTAATTACCTTTTTCCTATAACCTCTGAGGTTTTATGGCAATATTTAGGGTTGACGAACTTTGCTCGTCAGCTGATGAAAAAAATATACTTAGACTTGGAACTGTCTCACTGAAGTCACTGTCTATGAAATTTCATCCTTCAGTGTCAGCCTCATTAACATTAAAAGTACAAGTAAAGACAGGAGGTATGTTTATAGAAATACACAAAAAATAGAAATTTAGTGTAAATGCTATGAGAAATGGGGCCACTGGAGTTTAACATCTATCAAAATGCAGATATATAACAAGGTAATAAAAATATTTTCTCAGGGGATGGTTGTAAAATCATCAATTTTCTTTGCTATGAAATCAATACAGAAATGCATACGCACAAGAAAAGTTACATTATAATCATGTAGGCTTTGTAATATACAAGGTAAACTTATTCACTAACAGTAATAATATAGAAGCAGCAAAGTGATTTTAGTCAGAATGAAGAGAGTAAGAAAAAATAGATTTTCTTTGTTCTCTGCAATGCTTTTCTAATGCGTCATATTCATATGCCCAAAAAAGATCAAAGGAAATTAGGAATTGGAAGTACAAGAAGAAATCAGAATCTGGGTAGTGACAGGGAAAATCTCTCCCATGTTCTAGTATTTTGTATTACTGTCCGTTCATGAGATTTTATTATTTTGATTTGTCTAATACTTGTATAAATTTTTATTATCTTTCTGACTTTTTAAACTTAAGCCTGTAAAAGAATTATGTTATTAGATCTGCTAAGAAATAAATGAACAACTTAAATACTAATTTTATGAGGAAGTATTATGTGACATGTCTTTCCATTGTATTGTTTGTCTGAAATGAAGTCATGATGCATCATGACCATCATGAAGCAGAAAATGCACCTAGCCCCCCTAGTATGTTAATACATTTACCTCTTAGGCCAATGCTGTTATTTAAAGCTTTTTAAATCATAAATGTGTTTGTCCTTTTGTCTGCAGAACTGCTTCGTAATTTATTTTGTAATTCAGCATGTTCACAGTGGGTGAAGTTCATTTGGATAGTTTACTGTCTGAAAAATGAGATTGACTACAACTTGGCTGGGCACATAGAGTTCAAAGTGTAATAAGAAGTTCATAGCCAAGAGCCAGCCAGAGGGGTTTTAGGAACTGGGAAGTAGGGGTGGAAGCCTGCTGAGGGAGAAAGACAGCAGGAAATCTGGCGTCAGAGGTCTTAAGACCTCTTGAAGTAACATGGAACTTAAAATCAGGGCAGGAAATTAAATAGAAGGAAATGCCCAGGCAGCAAATGAAGGGATGCAAAGGAAGAACAGAGACTGCAATGGTAAGAAAAGGGCTTTAGCATCAGGAGAAAAACAAATCCTTTACAGAGCTTAGACATGGGGCAGAGTTTGAAACCTTGGTAGTACATGACGTAAATAAATGAATACGTTTTTACTGATGGCCAATGGAGAGAATCAAAAGTCATACAGCAGAAGTAATAGTTAAAGGTAGGAAAATCAAAAGGCAAGTCTGACAAACTGGAGCTCCTAGAAGAAGCTCATAATGACATGTATTAGTCCAAGAACAATTTTAAGCAGAAATGGCCTGCAGATAGCATCATCATGTTTGTTGCATTTTCCTTCTCTAGGCTTCATTTACAAAGTAATTTGGCAGGTGGGGAGAACTTAGTGTTAACTTAATATAGTGTATATTTGTTTTTCTATGTAAATTTTGCAATAATTCAATTTCTGAAATGCAGGCTATTATCATAGCCTTAATGTGCTTCTATTAGGTTTTATGAGTCTTGGCCTAAAGAAAGAAGTGAGTAGTATGTTTCTTTTGCCTAAATGGTGGAGAAACTGTAAAAATAAAATGATGTAATTGATTCTAGACAAATTGAGAAAAAAATGTATATTTTTTTAATGTGGAAGAACAATATTAATTGGATTAGAGAACTGATGAATAAGAAGGGAAAAATTGCTAAATTAAAATACCTGTTGTTTTGTTCCTAGGTTCAGACATTGTTCAATGGTTAACGAAGAACTTATCTATAGAAGACCCAGGTAATTTTTTTTTTTTTTTTAGTGTCTGAAAATTCTGATTTGTCTTTTTAAATGGTCAGATCTTACTTTGTCTTCTGTTGCTGTGGTGGCGGCCAGGCAGCATTTGGCCTGTATGACTGCAGTAGCAAAGCAGACAGCATCAAACCTCGGAAGCCTTTGCTAAGAATCTAATGATTTTGGTTGTCCGTTTTACTGGAGTGTATACCAGTGAGCAAGTTAATATCCAAGAATAAAAGAGATTCTGCTTTAATTAGTAGAAAATTAGCTTAAGTTCTGTTCCATGAGGAATTTACTCAGTGTCATACTAAATAGTTTGTTAAACACGTACTGTTTTCTTTCTTCTTTAAAGCATGACCAGAGATACTCATTTTAACTTTGTCTGTTTCAGACTTTTTGGAATGGAATTTCTGTTCCTTTGGGATTTTTTAATTTCTAAAAAAAGGGTTTTTTCTTCACATAAGAAAGAAAGTGTGACCATTGTGAAATTCCAGCAAAAAAATAAAATGATTTACCAAGAGCTATGTTAAAGATTGTGCATTGGACAATATGGAACTATTTTAAGTACATAATTCATTATTTGGAAGTAGCCAGTTTCCAAGTTACCTGAATTGTTACAACAAAGCTATCACTAACTGCTTCCAGTTTTTTACTTTACACACAGTGTCATATGTTTGCTTTCTAAAGATAAAATGAGGATCCATTGAGACATGAGAGTGATATTATACTTCACAGTTGTCAGGTACAAAATACTCACCTATCTATTTTTATTAGAGTTTGAAAGATTGCCATTCTATATTTATCTGATATGAAAGCTTAACCCTGTGTTTGTCAAACCAGAACTGCAGTAATGGGGTAGGTTGTCATTCAGATTATCTGATTCTTGAGAAAATTTGGAATAGAGGAACGCTTGAACTAAATGGAAAACATGGTTCCCTGTAATGATATGCAATTAAAATCAAACACACAGACTACTAATCTATGTAACCAGAACACCACGATATTTTAATTTGAGCTGTTTTATATCCTCTCAGGTGGCATGGGTGGAAAAAACTATCCACAATGACAAAAATATCTTGATGTGTGTCCATACTGGTCCAAGGATTGGACAGTCCAAAGTCTGTTATCTGGTGCTCACTGGATGCAAATCTGAAAAATTCCGACCACCCTGCACGCAGCCTTTAGGATAGCACTCAGAGCTGTCAGATAGCAATGAACCTGATGGAGGGCAAACTATTCATATGACAAAACTTCTGAGAATATTCTATTTTGTAAAATATTTTTAAGTTTTTGACTTTTCATCCAGTTCTAGATAAAAGCAAGATAGAATTTCCTGCGGAAAAATTCAGAACTTCATGAGCTGTTGTCACCATAATTTGGGTTTCCAGTATCTTCTGTCTACCTTTCACCAATGTGTCAGGGTTTCACTATGGCTGTTTTTTGAAACTTGACCTCAGGGTCCTGTTAGAAAACTCTTGTGAAACTATACAACTTGATGATGCAGAAATACATATGTTTACGTTTGCACTGAAAGTTAGCATCTCCATGTGGTTCTGATGTCAGCAACGTACGTGTAAGAGTGATATAACATAGAACTTGGTTCACCTATTTTAGGAGATTATTCCACCATGTCCAGAAAAATGTAGGGACTGTTTCTATACCGTTCATCTGCAGGTGTTATTCTAGGACCAAGAAGTACTCAAATTAGCAAAGGTTGCAAATTGTGATCTAAGGGGTAAATAGATGCTAAATTGAACTTGCCCTTTAGTAAATGAAAGAACTAGTAAGAAGGAAGTGGTACTAGAGTACATTAGACAACATTATTCTTTTGGAGTGCAATTTTTTTGTTTGTTGTGCGTAGAGAGTACAACTCCTATACCCTTTAAGTTAGAAAGAATGCTGCTTTGTGGATAGCGGGAGAATAAAAAGCAGGAGAAAGCCTTGCAGTAACATTTGCTTTCATTATGTTAGTAAGTGTGAAGTTATTATTCCAGCTATTGCTGGAAACAGCATTTTGAAGTAAAAAATAGATAAGAGTGTAAACTGACCGTAACAAAAAATTGCTACATATTTTTTTTTTCATTAATGGGAAAACATTTTCTGTGGAAGATTTGAAAGATTTCAACTTGCTACAGTGAATCTCCATTAAGAAAATAAATTAGAGATAATAGGTGGATTCTGCTAAATTACATGAGATTTGAAATTATTTCAGAGCAGAGTAGAGCCTGTGCCCGGAATAACTGTACTCAATTTATAGTTGCTGTTATATTTTTTACTTTTCGATCTGTACTTAAAAAAAATGTTTGTTTTTCGGTCTACAACTCTTCTGCAAAATTTTAAGGAATAAAAATTATCTAAGTTATTTTTAATGTGGAAATCTAGTTCATTAATAAAAATAAGCATAACCTCAACCCAAACTGAAGCAATTAACTGAGTTTACAGAGTTGTATGGGCTTATGGTTTGGCACTTGGACATTTGTTTGCTGAACTGACATTACGGGGTAAGTGCTGACTCTTCACTGATGGTGCCAATTATGCTTAATGTAGAAGGTCTACTGGCACTGTGTTTTTCTTTTTTAAAGTGATAACTAGTGTTGTGAAGGGTAACAGATTGACAACAATAGAGACTGAAGTCCTTTTAACCGTTACAAAAAAGAAAAAAAAAAGCACACAAAGAGGAAGATGAGCTGATTTTAAGCTGTCCGCTCAAATTTCCAAGAGACTAGTTATGTGCTTGGTTCTTGCACTGACTCCTTTGAGGTCTTTAGCAAGCCACTTGATTTCTCTGTTCCTTAGCATCCCGACATGCTAAAGGTGAATAATGCTATTGCCTCTTTAAGGGGAGAAATCAGTGACAATTTTCTTTTTAGTGAAGAATGAACAAGTATCTTCCTAGGGATATGCTTACACAGCATTCCTAGGCACGTTTACAAAACATGCATTTCATCCTTAACTTTGCCCACGAAGAATTTCTTTCTCTGTTGTTCAGAAAGAGCCCTTAAGAAGAGATAATATGTAAGCCATCATCACCTTTCTCCTTTACTTTTACTTTAGTTCAGAGTGTAGTATATTTAATTTACTAATATCTGTAAAGCCTTTTGAAATTATTTGACTGAAGACTTTGCTATTGGATGGTTACCCTAGCAGAGCCATAGGGCTGCAGCCAGCGCCAGAAGGCACAGCTGTGCATTCAGAGTGCCTTATATACCAGGAATTACACTCAGAGTGTTACGACTCCGAGGCCTAAACTCTCTACTACAGTTCAGAAAACTCAGTCTAGGTAGTAGCAAAAAATTACCCTTTTATGGGAAGAAAGCCACTAAATAGTAGAAACGTACAGATATGAGCTGAGATTAATTCAGCTGAAAACGCTGTTGTGCTTCCTCTAAACTCTGCCTTTTCTTGGATGCATATATGTATATATATGACTAAGTCAGACATTCTAAGTTGCAAAACAAGACTATTCCTTGAAGTAGGCAGTGGTTTTTCAACCTCATTTCTTTCTATTAGTTTTCTTTTCACTTGACCAATGTAGCCAACATGTAATTAGATGCCCAGTAGCAGCTATGTAGACTGTGGTCACTGATCCGGTGCAGTAAAAAGGGAGAATTCATTAGCACAACTTCTGTCTGTGTTTCTCCCATTTTTCCCTCCTCCATTTTCAAATAAAATCTCTCTCCAGCAGCTGCTGTATTAATAGTGACCTTGATGATACACTGTGCTTACTGAAGTTGCACAGAAAGTTAGAGGAAAAATATTCAGGTTTTTTCGTCTCGATTTTATGGAAGTGCATTGTTAAAATTTGGTTAGTTCTAGGCTGTTTCTGCCCCTTTACCCATGCAGACGCAGTAAAGTAACAGCAAAGTGCAGGAGCCAGACTATGCATTCTGAACCATAACATTTGGGAGAAAAATCAGGCAGCTGCAGGCTGATAGCAGGTAAAGTGGAGGTCCTTATTCCACACTTAGTTAAAGGAAAAAATTAGCCTCTTATGAAAAGGAGGAAACAAAGGAACACAAAGGTCATGCTTATGTTTGTAGTCTTTGCGTTAATGAAAACTTGCTGAAATAAAGCAAGACTAGAATGCATCCCACATATCAGCTTAACTGAAAAAAACTTGATAAATGTAGTTTACACTGGCTGCACATGCACCAGGAGCCTCCTATTAGGAACCCAGATACTCTAAGAGACTTGCTTTTTTCGTATGTCTAATTGAAATTTGGCCACATTTTGTTCAAAGAGACGGAAAATGAGATTAGTCAAACCTGATGAACCTTGGCCTATAACCATAACCATTCTTCTACTGGGTGGATTTGATCTGAGCTTGTAAGGTCCTGTAACATTTAAATGAAATAACGACTTTAATCTGAGATGTACAGAAAGAAAGTAAAACTCGTATACTTTTGGGGAATAGAAAATGTCTAAATTTACAGATACTCCTTTAGTACCAACGGTATTGGTGTTATGATACTCAAACAAAATAAAAATGTAGGGTTAGTTTTCCTGTAGGTGTGGGTAGCATGGGTAGCATTTATCTGTGTGTGTAATCAATGTGCTTCTAGCCATTGCTGTGGATTGAGGGCTGAAATGGTAAGTGCTCCCATGCGGAGGTTATTTTATTTGCCCAAAACATGGTGGACTTTAGATTATGAAAGGATTAGGTTATGATTTTGTTCACCCTTTGGAAAGGGTAAACAAAGGTGATTTGTCTGTAACTTAATTGTAACAGGATGAATCAGATATAATGGATTCTGTTCCTTCTTCCATGTCTTTCCACTGACATTTAAATTTTTTCCAGCTTGGCGTAGTTTGTCATACTGTGTAGACTATACGTGTTACAAGTGTCTCCTCAGAGTACCCAGCACAGCAGGAGTGGCCTGGTTTGTGCTTCTCCTCTTCCTATGTGTTGGTATTGTTTGAGTAGCCTCGTTACCTTGTATTGGCCCTGGAAGCTGATTAAAATGTCCATAGGATGGCTGGTTTATTTTCTCGCTTACAGATAG